TTAACTCGTAAATGGTCTTTGAGTACCCCATCATTACCAATAGCGTCATACATCCATTACTCGTTAACATCTAATTGATTATATCTACATATGCGGATATCGATAGAACAATCTCAACCAGTACCAAACCAGTATTGGCGTGAACGTTCCTATAACACAAAGCCATTACAGAAATGGTAATAACCTAGCAAATAAACTGATAACCAATAACACCATATCTTATTTACAAACACATTGTTGTACAAGCTTAAAGGAATTTTATGCCGTACTGTATTCAACGCAAATTCCCAACAGTTCACTACCAAATTTCTCAGGTACTCGTAAGTTTATCTTTACACCATCAAATCAAGCATTCAATACTCTTCACAAGCCTGTTTGCCTTCAAAGATTCACTGTGCGCCGACACCAACAATGCCTCTATTCATTGCAAAACATCCTCTATTCCCTGAACACTAAGGTCCTGCCGAATTGCATGCGTAAACTTGCAATTGGATTCTAAAATGCGGAGGTGCTTTTGGTACTCACAAGTAGGTCTTTGTGAGCGCGACCAGTATTTCGAGATCTACCTCGTCTTTCCCATTACTTATTGAAATAGGTGTTGGCGGGGGTGGGGTGATGCATATGAAAGGGCTAGTTATTTTAGTTTTTGGTGCGAGGTCGCGCGACAGAACTGTTCTTGTGTGGATACTATGAAACACTGTTATTGGACAGAGGAGCATTCAGTTTGTCTGTTTGTCAGTTTGCTCAGTAATTTCTTTGTTGCTATGAATCGCGATTGTATTGACATATGGTTAGTAGTTTTTTACGGATGTGATGGTGTGCTCGTGAATAGATGGTTTACTTGTTGAAATATTAACGGATATGGTTTAGCTGAGTGACTCATTGTTGTATTGCAAATAATGTGAAGGGGAACTGAAGCTAGCCAAATATCAATAGAGCTGTTGTCTCTTGGAGTAAAACAGCTCGGCTTTTACGTGGAACACTGAACAGAGAGAATATGATATAGGATTCTTTATCCTTATTTCAGAAAGATGTTTGAAAACATTCATCATTCATCAAGAGCAAACATATTTGAAGAATTTTAACTCTTCCAACTATTTATAAAAGGAAGCTAGCTAATGCTTGCAGTCAACACAATTATGCAACAGTGTGTCACCAAAAATATATTCTCATTCCGAAGCAATTACGAGAACGGAGGAAACCACGAGATTGTTGCCAGACATAATAGCACACAGATTGTTTTACAATTACACACATCACGATTATGGTTATTTAAACAACGATAAGAAGTAATTACTATGACATATTCCATTTTGATGGTTTTGTAAAAACCATTGTTGAGTGCAAACAGTGTGTGGAGTATGTACAAATATTGCTCAAAGTTAACTTAAATTCTTGCTATTTGTTTGATTAAAATGATCGTTCTTCTTGTGATGAGTTTTTCGATAACGGGTTAGAAGATAATGATATGCCTTTCTGATGAATTGCTTTAAGAGAAGGTGCTTGGCCAATTTTCCACATTTTTTTTAAGGGGGTAAAATCATCGAATGACTGCTCCCGCCTAGGTAAGGCGGGAGGGAGTGTCAGACTCTTACTGACTAAAAACCACCCTGTTCCTTCTCCTGCACGTCGAGCCGGAGCCCCGGTTACCCGTTAAGTTATCCGCGACAATTTTCCACATTTAGGGCATATTTTTCAATCATTAGTTAATTCTTAACTACTTACTTGATTCAATTGACATTTACAAGTTTTTGAAAGTATAGAAGAATTGTCAAATATTCAAATTCACTTAAAATTTATCTGGCATTGAAAAAATCGGACTTTAGTAGTTACATTTTGATATTGGTGTTGTTCGCATCCACTTTAACTTTGGATACAAGTATTAGAAAATTCTTAATGTTTATTTGTTTAAAATTCATAATGGAAAGAATTTATCAAACACAACGCGATTTTTTCCATTCACCAACACTTTTAGCGTGTATGTTATTTAGATTTTCAGCGGGAATTTAATTCCAACAAACATAGAACGAAAAATAGCGATAACATGCGACAAATTACTATTATTAATACAATGTGACTGTCACTGGATTTTCCTGTTTCCGTTTGCTCTTACAATTTAATGATCAGAATCAATGTTTGCTGGCAAATTCTGAACCAGTTCACAACTCCTGTAACGGTATGCAACTTTCTTAATACGATCGTGTTTAAAAGGTTCGACTTCCAACGAACAAAAACCTGCAAATACATTGTAAAGACTTACAGAAAGGTTATACATAAAACTGGTCGCATTACAAGAACTGGGGCTCCAAATGACTAAAAGGACCCGACAAAAACCGCAGACGTTAAGCTTAAAACTTGTTATGCTCAAGAATGGATATCAGACGATCATCTTATGAACGATGGCGGCGTTACTTAGACCTTCTAAGAACTGCAGTCTTGCCATGAACTCTTAAATTGGTGACGAAACACCGTGAGACCGACATATGGTCGGAAGTTTTCGCGTCATCTCCACTTAGTATTTAGTTATTCTGTATGTGGATTGAAATCGCTTTAATTACATCCTCATCTGCATTTTGTCCTGAATATGGAACGTGTAACTTTTTTGGCATGACACACGCTTCATGTTTGTCAGTGAACGCACAAGAGTGATTGCTTACTGACTGTAAAAATATTTGTTTGCAGTTTTTCATATATTTTGTTTGTGATGCATGCGACTGGCATTTTAGTAAATAAATGTATGCTCTCAGAGATGAATCTTCATGAGTGCGACTGCAAATGACATTTTGCATATTATATTCCAATATTTTACTAGTTAATACATTTTTCCATCGTTGCCTCGTAAATGCAGTTAGTACCTGTCTTGTCTAGTCAATGATTCAACAGGAAAGCAATATAATATTTAATAAGAACGCCGTACTTAAAAATTTAATGCGACCATTAAGCTAGCCAATGAAAATCGATTCTATTGAATAATCTACGATGGCTGTCGACACAGTACGGAAAAATGCTTTTTCCTTGGAATTAACAATTATAATTGAACTGCAGTGTTAGGAACGTGCCGTAGTTCGTTTTATGTGAAATGAAATTCAAACAAAGAGTGGTATCGATGGTTCCATCAAACACACCCCTACAGCCGGCTGGAAGCGCTCTCGATCAACAAGGGAACCGGTTCACCGTGCTCCGAGATTCAGTTCGAACTGAATTGATATGAAGTTATTAACATTGAATTAAAATATTTACAGAGCAGTGCCGGGTGCGCTCGTTTATTTTTGCATGACAATTAAATATGTACATGCGACTCCAATACATTTAAAACGTGGGGTTCATTTTCGATCATTTGCATGTACCTTGAGGGCGCAGTGTTCTTTTATTCATATTCACGAATCTGGCTATTCTCGTTTGGTGAGTCGTTCGAATGGTGCCAACCAGATATTTTTTCCTTCTCATGACATTTCGTGCTGTCTGTACGCTGTCACCGATGGAACTCGATATGCATGCATTAAAATTTAAAAGCGTCCATAAGTTATTCATACTCCATTAAAAGTTCCAATGCAGTTTGCATGAGCACAGACTTAATAGAAATCGAGTTTCTTTCAAAAGGAATTCAAACAGAGATCCTTTTTCTTTTGCCGAGTCCTCGTCTGACCTACAAATTTGCATAGCAGACAATATAATTCTTCCTTGGCTTCAACCTTTGTTGGCTACGACTAATTTCTGAGAACATATTTTAGCCTGTTTTTACTTCAAGTGGGCGGTTCCTCTTGATCGTAGATTGTGTGACTCAGATGATACGGTTGTGGGAACTTATATCACTTCGGACACGAAAGGCAGACCGACCACTAACGCGTTTATCTGTAACATAAGTACACGATTCATATCGGAAACGCTATCTCACCGAGGCGGCTCTTCCACCGCCCTAAAGTTGGACGTAAGCCAGTGCCTAAAATCGTACTGCGGACATGATTCAACTATGAATTCGTGTTTATGCTCCATATCTTTTATTACATTAATGCGTCTGAAGTTCTCCTGAGACGTGACAGCATTATGAACGATGCGGCCCCACCAAATGTGGCGTATGCGACCGCAGTGCGACCCGAAATGGCCCGAAATGACCAGTAATCGTCGTTCTGATGGCAGATAAGCACAAATGAATATGTAACGCCCGTCCTCCCACGACCGAGCACAATAAAACCGGGCCTGACCCTATAAAAATAAAAACAGGCAATTAATATTGTTTATTCGCGTCCGTTATTCAGAGCGGCGACAGTAACAAACGACGTCTGCATGGATTAATGCCATCGGAGCCGGAGCGCGTCTCTCGCGGCTCGCAGGCCGCGACACCGATGCCGCGGACACCACGCCGATCCGGTTGAGTAATTCCCTATGTAACGGGACTTCCAGTTATGTAAATCTCAGCCGAATTTCACGATGCATCTGCATAGTTTCGAAAGTGGATCTTAATTAGGAGTTCGATTAATTGCGCGACACCATTTTATATCAATAGTATGACTGGGAAAATAGGGCTATTGAAGTGACTTATGGATTATGGATGCGGAACGAAATCGATGCATAGTAATGAGTCCCAATTAATTAAGGGCGCTCTGATTTCCTAACGGTCGGGTGGAATGCCTCAGGGAGACATTATCGGGACGATGTACCCACTGTAGATACGCTGGAAAAGCGTGAAGTGTTTAATTTTGGATCGATTATACGTCAATGCAACTACCGGGTTATCGATATCGCAGTGAGATAAGCCTATTAGTTGCGTCACACGGACAGTGAGCGGCGCCACGGGCCGACCTCTGTGATCACCCGCAGCTGTGGGGTCACCATCACCGGCCCCGGCAGGCCCTAATCTCCTGAAACTTTTACGAGCCAACGCATGAATAATTCCCGAGAGGAGCAGCTATCGATCGCACACGTCGAGGTTTTTATTTATACGGCGCGGGTGGGCGAGGCGCATATTAGTAAACAGGCGCAGGCGCGTCGTAGACACTCACCGACTTGTAGCACGTTCTCCACACAGCCAGCCTCCAGCAGCTTCAGCCCTCGGCAGAAGGCAATGTTGCGGTGGTCGTCGGGTGGCGCTCGCGCCAGCGACGAGTACATGCAGATGTCCCGCTCATCCCGCGGGAACGACCAATACACGACGCGGCGTTGCACCGGCTCGGGGATGCGTTCATAGCGCTCCTCGATGCGTTGGAACGGGATCGCAGCGGCGACTATTTTCGCTGTGATATCGAGTAGCGTCGGCGGGGCGCGCGGCCGGCAGCAGGCGCGCGGCGCACACGCGGACATGGCGCTCGCTCGGCCGCTCGGCGCGGACTGACGGCTAGTGCGCCCCTCCCTCCGCCGCGCCCCGCATTGGGGGGCACCCCGCGCACCCCGGGGATGCGAGCCCAGAATCGACACACTGCGATAAATTATTCATTTGGCAGGCATAATGTGCGATATATTATTAAAAGTTGGCATTTTTGTTGTTCTCTGTGGCCTCAAATAGAATCCATAACTATTCGAAATTGCTGTGGCTAACGGGTATTAATTATTAATTGCATAGAAAATAATTTGAAATGTTGAAAATGTCCAAGTCACTGAAGTGTAATATGGGTGAGGGTTTTAATCAAGATGCTATAGGATATCATATTTTTTTATACTACACAATTTAGCACAGATTGTGTCTTCACAATTGGAAATTCAGATTCTATGAAACGTGGATAAGAAATAAATAAGAACAATACTCATAAAAATATAATGTCAGTGCGTGTCGTTGATGGCCGACGCTCCTCGCATTACACAAACGAAGGGGAAAGGCTGGAGCGGAGCGGTGGGGGCGCGGGGTACATTAACAGCTGATGGCAGGGGGGCGCGGGCGGGCGGGGGGCGGGGCCGCCGACGTCAGGTGTCCGACCTGCTGGCTCAGCTGTGATTGAGCGCGTCGCGCAGCGCTGCAGCGGCTTACTTGCAACGCATGTACATTGACCTTTTTGTTTATCATTTTTTTTTGTAAACATTACTCACTCAACCGCGCTCGAAGGTAACAAACTTTGATTTTTGAGTGTATTGTCTTAGTAACAGCGGTGAGAGACCCTGTTGTAAACTCTTTGTGAATATCGGGAGTCGGGTGACAAAAGCTGAATCCTATTAAGAATTTTACGATTTAAGTGGTGTTGTATAGTTTAACTCTGTTCGATTGACAAAAAATAAATATCAATGTAAACAATCATAAAAATATTTGAATTAAAAAAGCTTGCACCTTACCCAAAAACAATTACTTAAAAAACCATGCAAGACCCAAAATTAAAAAAACAAAAACACCTAACAAGCATTAACACATTGTAACACGCACTACATAATCAAAACAAATGACATTAAAGTCTTCATATGAAAAACAATAGAGCTATAATAAAAAGCGCTTCATCCGCTGAAAGCGCTTGCTATCTTGTCTCGGACGGACGACAGCGAGGAAATCCCGACACGCTTACAGACCTATATATATACAACATACCTACTGTTTATACATAATGCTATTATGTCGATTTATGTGTAAACAGTCAGCTGATCGCATTGAAAGTGATTTAACTGTATTGTTATGAAAGTTGCTCAAGTTCATATTGTGCATTGAAGAATTTTTTTGGATTATTGTTAGCGATAGATGGTTTGAGGCCTAGAGATGAGGCAAATACTGATACGAAAAATATAAAAATAAAGACATAAGGTCCATTAAAGATATCAGCTGTCTCCAAAGTGATTGCATTTCCATAACTGGTCTGAATTTCCCGACAGTTGTTGTTCAGAACCGTATCCGATATCTGTACCGTATACATTTTTTAATTCACTTGACTTGTTTCTCTTTCAGTGAGAATCTCCCGGCTTAGTCACACATCCCAAACCACTTCAAAAATAAAACAAGACTTCGTGGTCTTCTTCTGGAAACCAGGACCTATGGCAATGAACGAGTGATCAAAAGAAAACCAACGCTACAAGCCCGATACGACACGACCCGATCCGAAATTAATTAGAAAGAAGGTTTCCATTAATTACTTACCTACTTGGTAATTACCTAGTTTTCATTATTTTTTTTACGTTGCGTTACACATCATCAATGTCAATCTGTTGGTTACCCAAACTGTTCCAATCCAAGCTTACAATCGGTACTGAGATTATGACGCTTGCAATTTCGCCGAAACCTTTTTTACTTTCACTGCTTGTTATTGAAATAAGGGCAAGTATTACCAAAATATCGGGATCTTTTCTCAGTACGTTTTCTGAGAATTGTAGTAAAAAAATGTACTCAAACTTACTCTGTAAAGAAAGCTTCGAAAAAAATACTGCGCATAATGTTCCGACTTGTTACTTCGCGATCAAGGAGGTAGTCATATTTTATATTACTTGACATAATACCCTTTTATACCAATAAATAATTTAATTAATGTTTCCATTTTTTTATATTATAAGCCGGTAAACGAGCAGACGGATCACCTGATGGTAAGCAATCGGCGTCGCCCTTGGACACCTGGAACACCAGAGGCATTACAAGTGCGTTACCGGCCTTTTGGGGATTAGGTGTTTGAAGATCGCTGGGATTCAGGAATTGGGGAGATTGGGGAAGGAGAGGGTAATTGGGCCTCCGGTAACCTCACTCACACGACGAAACACAACGCAAGCGTTGCTTCACGTCGGTTTTCTGAGAGGCCGTGGTATCACTCCGATCGAGCCGACCCATTCGTGCCTAAGCATGGCTCTCACACATAAAATTCCATTTCATTTTTACGGCCCATTCTCTTCCAAACAGTTTTTTTTATTTCGCAGACTCTGTGCAGTTGAAACAGAGATACCTTGCTCTATGTTAATATGTATTTTCAAAGGGTTTCAAAACAGAGAGAAAAATACATCAATTTTGTTTCGTGTTACCAAGCGTCGGCTACCTACATTGTATAGTATTGAAACACATCGACGGCATGTGGTCTATAGGTACTTACAGCCCCCACAAGATATAATATAAAACTAAAACTGCCTATAACTTTCCAACATTACTACTACAAAACCTATTCCTGTATTGATTTCAGAAAACGAATAAATAAATCATGCTTACGTTACTACCATGAAGTCTGCATATAAAATGGAATGCACCAATATTAAAGTATAATAAACTCCCCCCTTCGAAGTTGTGGCAATGGACCATAATTCATTCATAGCATTCGACTTTTAAATTGCGCGGGAAACTACAGCTGAAGGTAATGGGAACTTTCATAAATAAATCAATGCAACGAATGCATCGATCAATCAGTGTTGTCTTGACGAGTTATTTTTGCACAGACATCCACAAATTAACACGATTAACACAATCGAACGATTTAAAATCTTAACGTGTTCGTAATTAATCGAAACGGTAATCTGTTCTATTTGTATTACGAATTGTGTACGTTGATCAATTGAATCGGAATGATTCATTCATTACGACGGCAGAGGTGGGAGGCGGGTGGCGCGAAACCACCACAGATTATAAATGGAGACTGAAGCTTTAGCATAGGCTGTCTGTGAAAGTTCTTGGAAATTCAAAATTAATATTTCGCGCAGCAGTTCTTTGAATTATGTAGTTTTTGGTCTGTTTTTCAATAAAATTAGAAGGGCATGTTTTGTCACGCAATTCCTCATGAATAGCATAATTTGAAATAGGTAAACTTTTTTATAAAAATGCCACATTTATATTAATATATTCCATTTAAAAACGTTAAGAAAGCTGATTACCGATATTGAAGAAAGCTGGAATTCACTTCGACCACAATTATAAAGAAACTGCGGTATTTTAACTTGATTAAAATGTACCAACTCTCCGTATCGAGTTCCGACCCGGAATCGAACCGGCTTTCAGCCAGCAACGTCAGCTAAAAAGTTTTACTTAAAATTTTATAACCTGTATACCATAATGGCGCTCCCGCGAATCGATATCGCGTTCCGAATTTAAAATGTCGTGTCCCCGCCATTTTTGCCGGATCTAATGAACTATTAAACTGCAATTTGGATGCGCGATGGCTGTTAGATGGCGCTGTGCGCACGTATTGATCGCACGATGGGGGCCAAATATCTCGACATCGGGTTCTGCCAAGTCACGGAATGTATTGCTAGCTATTGTGGCGAAAAATGGGGGGCTGAGATGAGCGTGGAATGCCTGCCCGCGCTTAGTGCGCGCCTCGTGAGGGAGGCGATTTATGTGAGCCGCTCGTCACTATGCGTAGGCTAGTTGTTTGAATACCGCGTCTCTCAGCTCTTGTGTGTTAACATCCTTTTACCTATGAATGTTATTATTATATTAATCTACAAAAAGTTAAAATAATTTACTAGTACCTATAACATTTAAATTAATGGTCCTTTGATACGTTTCATATAAAGTTCATCAGGACCAAAAGGACCAAAATTTGGCTAAGCATATAGACCTCTATAATAAAATATTAAGCAGTATATCTACACCCCTTAATACCACTAAACCTACATACTTATTACTTAGATATACGAGATATACCTACTATCATAAAATGTAACATAAAATTCTAGTACTCATATAAACCGGCGCTAGTAAGTACACTCACTACTTTCTATACATAATTACAAAGCTTCTGAAATATGAATACGACTTGGTATTTCCGAAATGCGGCCATGGTGGCAATTACACCATGTGAATATTTTACAAATGGGATATTGGAGGGAACTCGCCTTGTACTTTTAACTATGTTATTCATAAGTCATGTCTCAAATTACCTATTTAGTTTGTTGGCTTGCCTTTCATAGTATGACTAAGTTTTCTGTACCTATGCTTTGGACAGTCAGTCTAGTTGGAGTTTTTTAAAGAAGCCGAATCTCTTGGCACCCTTGATTGATGTAGGTGAAACAATGATTAATGTCTCTGAACTGAATCATTATGTTCTTATCTGTATACCAAAACAGTCAAAAATTTGACTTATATTTCTCGATCAATTCGACATTATGTGATTAGGTACGTAATAACATAATTAAGTAATAGTTCTATTATTGAATACATAAATGCGTGAAGAATGCCTTCCCTCCTCAAACGTCAGCAACGCACTTGTAACTGCTCAGATGTTGAGAGTTTCCATGTACAGCGCTGATCACTAAGCATCAGGAATCAGTCTGCTGATTCGCTCTCATGTTTACATGTTCTGAAGAAAGTTTATTGTAAAAATACTTAGAAACTATTGATTCTTCCAAAAAATTCTATGCAAGTTTTCAATTCACAAAGTTAGGACGAATTTAATATCTACTATTCAATTCTTCGATCGCAGCAAGAGTCTGTTATA